AGGGCTTCAGCACTCATCCATTGATTCTCTATCCCATGGACAGGGTTGAGCAGCCTCAGTTCTTCTCTAAGATGTTCCTACTGCCTGTGATCTGTAAGGTGTCAAAAGCCAACTGGGTCCTGGGGTGCACTGTGCTCACTTCCTCTCTCTCTTTATACCAGAGGTGCAGATGCTAACAATACCAACTTCTTACCACTAAGGGCATCTCCCAATCCAGGGCTCTGTCCAGCTAGGAGCTTAGAGGGCATATCTACATGAGACACTAAATGTGCAGTAGACTAATTCTACTGCGCATTAGCGTGTCATGGCAAAAGCCATGCCAATGTGATAATGTGCAGTAGAATTAGTCTACAGCGCATTAGCATCATTAAAAGACCATGTGCTGGCGCTACTGTGCAGTACTACACATTGAGTTAGTACCTGTTACTACAGGTACTAAACTTAATGCACAGTAACAACGGTGCAGTAATGAATGTGTAGATATGCCCAGTCAGTCACAAATCATTTCAGGTCCTGTGAACAGTGCAAAGGGAACTGAGTGAAGCAGAGATTTACCCTGTGTTTTTTGAACTGTAACGAACAAGGAACTTTTAAAATGCAGACAGACAATATTAACTTGAAATAAGAGCAACATTTGCAGTTTATAACAAACTCTTCTTTTTCCAGACATTCAAACTTTAAATTTAGGATTGAGGGGGTTCTTTCTCCTACACACAGCCTTTTTTTGATGACCAAATATAGAGATGGATACAAGTGGTTACATTGCCTTTGCACTGGTTTAGTTTGTGGCTTTCCCTTTGAAAGGGGAGTATTTGCAGTAGCACAATGGGGTGAAATAAAATGTTCTACCCTTGAAATGATGTATTAAATGATTCCAAAATATGTCATTACTAAATATGCACTTGATTTCAATATGAGTGCAGTGTAAAGGTTAGGAAGTATGCATCAGCACTTCAACTGGCAGCCTCAGAATGAACTTTCTTTTCATTTGTTAGATATTCCTGACATTAGACCTTGTCTTATGGTTAATCTTTATTGAGAACTATCTCATTTAACTGACTGTGTTAAACATTTGTGCTTCATCCCTGACAAGGCACTATGAAAAACAGGATGTAATGTTTAAACTTTCAGTCTTGGTAAAATATCATTTTATACAATTAGCATAAGCCTATAGCAAACTGTACTACTCTGTGACAGATACCTTGCTTGTTGTTGTGGCACTATTATTAAATTGACCATGTCAGAGATGTTAGAGATGATACCGTGTCAACAGTCAATAAACCGCTGTTCCTCAGCTGGAGCTCAAACACAGTTCAAACAAACAGAAAAGCAATTGCATGCAGAAACTTTTCAGACTGAAATGCATATGTGATCTGTTTGTTGGAAGTCAAGTGAAGTCTATAAGGATAATTTCTATTGCAAATTAGAAATTCTTAGAAAAATGGATTTCTAAATTTACTCAAAGAGACACAATAATAATGCAGATGTAATATAAAAAATAAAATAACTGAATTGCAGTTATGAAAAGGGTTTGAGTCAGGTCCTCATGATATCTTTACTATACAAAGGATTTAATACTGCAATGTAGTATGATATGTTGGTAGTGCCCCTACCAAGCTCAAGATCTGAGCTTTTACCGTGCTTGAGGACACCCCCAGAGTATCCCCAGGACTCTCACAACCTCATTTCTGGGTTTGTTGTGCACAGGACAGAAGTGGGCCAGTAGAGTTTATAACCTGAAGGTGAATAAGCCCTAACATATCCTGTGTGGCCACTGTGCAGGTCCACAAAAGGGTGCTCACTCAAAAAATATGCACCTGGGTTCCCCCACAATATAATTTCCCAGGATGGTACAAAGAGGAATAGGAAGTTTGAAGGGGTTTTTCGCAAAGTAGGACTTCTGAACTAAAGCCAAACCCAACAAAGAGGAAAAACAAATCCCTGATTCTAACACATCCTTATGTTCATTTATATAGCTATACTTAAAGTTATTTATTCACCAAGCACTGCTACAGCAAACTTTACACTTGTATTGCTTTTTATCAGTGCTTTTTAGCTCTCTAGAAGTTTATCTATGATTGTATGCAATGAGGTATTATGCAAGATATGAACACCGTGGAATATTATTGAACTTAACTACTCATTAATGTCTTCTGGCTTAATTATCCATTTGCATCTAAAGAAAAACTGGAATGCAAAACAGCTCAGTCACATATTGGAAGCAAACAATATTTAAAACAAAAAAAACCCAACATGTATTGTATTATATACATAATGGGCCATAATCTAATCCACCTATTGGACATCTAAGTGGATTTAGGTGCCTTAGTACAATTCATTAATGTATCTACTCTTGTAACACACTGATGGCTGACCCTAAGAGTGAATCACTAAAAAGTAGGAAGGGACAGGAGAACCCACTCAACCACAATTTTCAGTCCATTTACACTTCTTATAGGTAGAACAGTACCTGGCTTGCAATGACATAAAGATGGAAGGCTTTCATGGAAAGCACCAGAGTGTTAACACCAGTAGGGGACAGTTTATGTGATATGGAGACTCTCCATTTAGAAGGGATTGACTTGTGATGAGAAAAGACCTGGAGAACAGCAGAGTGTCTTATACATGGTGAGCAGATACATGACAGAGTTGAGGTTGAAGTTTGGGAGTAGGATCCTGGTATGGCCTGGTATCCTGGTATGGCATGGGATCCTGGTATGGCATGGATCATGCATGACAATGCTAGGGTAGGAAAGATGCTTAAAGAGGTATAAGTGCCAGTGATTTTCACTGGGTTTTTCCTATCCCAAGGGAAAGGAGGTAAGAGCTGGTTATGAGAAGCAATGTATTACATGTTAGCACAGAGCTCCAGTAATCAGCTCTGGTTAGAATCAGCATAAATTAGGCCCTCTTAGAACATAGCATTAACATGGAATATACTGCTTCAAAATAACCCACCTTCATTGCAGTAAAAATGGCAAACTGATAAATCTTAAAAAGTAACAGTAAATTGGGAATAATTATCCAGTAAGGCCAAGTCTAGGCAGCACAATGCAGTGCCATTCAGAACTACCCAGTGCAGGGCAGGTACCAGAATTCTGCAATGTGCTAAGTTAGAATGTACAGAAACATGACTAAATGCTGTTTACTAAACACTGCAAAAACAGAAAGTTTCACTGCTCAGTGATGAGCAAGGATTCTTGTTTTCTCTGATAAAAAAGCACAGATTTTCTGATTAAAACCCCCCAAATCTGTGTTTTTCAATGATTCAAATGAAATGCCATTATACACACACACACACACACATTGATTAAAATGAAATGCCACTATATATACACAATGTTTTATTGATATATTTACAATTTTAAAGCTATTTGGAAGCCTACCAGTACCTCAATCACTATAATAAAATAAATTCAAAATACCTATAAATTTTGGCATTTGATTTTGAGTTTTTTATCATGGAAAATCAGAGCTGCTCCTGCCTCCTTCACTCACCAGGACACAGGTCCAGGTGACTCACTCCCAAGCCACAGTCCCCCAGTCCTGCTGGTGCCCTTCACTCCACACCCACAGCCCCATGGGCCCTACTGGTGCCCCTCACATCCCACCCACAGCTCCCCAGTCCTGCCAATGCCCCTCACTCCCCACCCACATCCCCCAGCCCTACTGGTGCCCCTCACTTCCCACCCTCCCAGCCCTGCCAGAGGGGGACCCCAGCTGCCAGGGCTATGGGACCAGGGACCCAGGTCCACAGCTCCCTGCCCCCTGCGGCATCACCCGAGCCCTGGCTGCTGCCCACGGGAGGCAGCAGCTGCTGCTGTGGAACGGAGTGTGGAGCCCGGCTCCCCCTCCACCACGGGCAGCATGGCCAGAGCAGAGCCCATGGTGGAGGTGGTTGTGGGCTGTCCCCTGTGAGCTCAGGGTCCCTGCCCTGCTGCCCTCCCTACCAGGGCCTCCAGGGACCGAGTGTGGCAAGGCAGAGCGGAGTCAGGCAGCGAAGCTCAGTGCTGCTACTGGGAGCTCTGCACTGCCATGGTGAGTGACCCCCTGCCTGCCTGACAGCAGCAATGGGCACAACCCCCACTGCACCACCCTTGCTACTGCTCGGGGGTGGGGGAGGGCTCACTATGGTGGTGTGGGGCTTGTAAATACATCAATAAAAATGTGTGTTCTATATATAGTGGCATTTCTTTTTAATCATGGATTTTGGGGTTTTCAATCAGAGAATTTGCAATTTTTTAACAGAGAGAATCATGATCCCTGCAGATAAGGAAGATAAAGCAGAAGAACAGACTGGCTGGCTTAAGGCCAGCACAGTAACAACAGATAGGTCCAAACAAAACTGAGAATTTTTTTTAACTGATGCAGTGAATATGGTACAATTTCAAAGTTTATATAAGCTCTCATCATCCACCCCAACATTAGAATTCACCATTTCCTGACTTCTGACTTGGTGCTCATCATTTAGACTGTTACATTGATACCAGAGATACTAAGTACTCACAATTTCTACTCACTTTGGTTGCAGTTACGAGCCCCAAATGCATCTGAATCAGGACCCCTCTCTGTGCATGTAGACAGGGAGAAGCACATTGTTCTGCCCACCTCTAACCACTTGGTATAAGTGGCACACTGAGCACTACATAAGCAGTCTGGAGCAGGTATAATGATATAAGCCAGTTTCCTGAACAATCTTCAAGTACTTGCATGCAAAATTTTCATTTCTGGAACATGAGGACATAATTTGGGCCCATTTTTGCCACTGTAGGAAAAAGTGATCTCTTTTGGCTGAATTCATACAGCCAACAGTTCTTCCACTGAACAATCTGAATATTAAGATTAGTCAGAAATATTATTTTTATCAGACAATAGAAAGAGATTTTATCTAAGTACTACCTAGGTTTACGTTCCATTTGTCATACCTATGCCAAACGGCAATCTGTGATTTTGTCAGGGTATTTCACGTGTATTAAATGTTTTCCTTTGTTGAATTCCAGGAGCCTTCATGATTCCTTTCCTCATTCTGCTTGTCCTGGAGGGCATCCCACTGCTTCATCTTGAGTTTGCCATTGGTCAGAGGCTGAGAAAAGGGAGTGTGGGGGTCTGGAGCTCCATCCATCCCACCCTGAAGGGTGTGGGTAAGTCTGAGGAAGATTATAACTAAATAAAACAGAAGGCACAAGAACCCACATAATTAATCTTGGCATTGAGGCATTACAGGTTTCCTCCAGGGTGAGTGAGTGGTTCAGGGGATCAATCATCAGCTCAGAGAACTGTAGACTGCTTGGAGGACTCAACTTCTGAGCACTACAGTCCTGAAGCTATCTGACTGGTGTCCCATTTCCAGTGGACAGGTACTGTGAGCAGTCCTGTATGTTTATAGGACTTTAAGGATTTTAAGGATATTGGAAGTTTCAGTGAGCTTCCCTATACCTAAGGATGGGAACAACACCAGCAGCATTGATATTGCTAGATTCTGAATGAACTTTGGGCCAGCAGCCTGGATGAATAGAGGAGTTCTCTCTCTGTGGGCACCTCTACATGAGATGTTTACTGTAGTGTAGACTAATTAGCTCTGCAATAAACATTTTGTGTCTACACGTGCATCCTTATTAGGCTGGAATAAATTAATTTACTTCGCAGCAGTAAAAAAACTCCGCAGCATCACATGCATGGATGCTGTCCCGGCTGGCTGGGGCATGAAGGTGTTTTAGTGTGAGCGGGCATGTTTCAGTGCTCCCGTCTTGAGGCACACTGCACCCTAGCCAGCTGTGTAGCTGGCTGGGGCACACTGTGCCTCAGGATGGGGGCTCCACATGCCTTAGCGCAGGGGCTCTGCAGCAGAGCCCTTGCACTCAGGCACATGGAGACAGGAGAGCAGCCAGCCCAGGGCTTCCTGCTCCCCCGTCTTGAGGCACCCTGTGCCCCAGCTAGCCAGGGAGTGGCTGGCTTAGGCACAGGGTGCCTCAGCACAGGGGCTTCCCCATCTCCATGTGCCATTCCCTGGCTGGCTGTGGCACAGAGTGCAGCAGGACAATGTGTCCTGCTGCAAACTGCATGAGCAGAGGCATGCACTGCAGCACAAAGTAAGAGCACAAATTCGTGCTGCTACTATTTGTGCTGCTGCAAGCACACGCCCCTACTCATGTGAATGCAGCCATATGTGTTTGAACTGGTTAAGAAAGCCATCCAACTGGGTGTAGTCAGGATGATAAAAACACTATTACTCATGCCTTCACTCACCCTTCTGGCAGCCTCTCTCACATACTGAACAGGAAAAGTGAAAGGCTGGCAACCTGCATCAGGCCACACATGGGAGGAACAGTGGCCCAAAGGACTTCTGCAATGATCCTCCACTCAGTTCTTTCTTCACTGTTTCACTTCACTCCAGGTCATACATATCTCTCTCAGCTCATGATGTACTGGTATTCTTTTTCTCCAGGGCTTCTTTTTTTTTTGTCTTCCTTTCTGTCCTCCGAGGGCTCTGCCCTAGGGCTTGGCTCATAACATCAGTATGACCACTCATTTCTGTTTTCTATCTTTAATGTCAGCTTCTGGGTTTTGTTTGTGTTCTTCTATGTAGCTCACCATTTATTATCCTTTCAGGAAATTTGGTTTTAGATCCAAACTATTATGGTAGGTTACAAAAAGCAATCCATATCAATCCCATTCCAACTGCTGCAAAACCACATAAGTGTCCAACCTCATTAAGCCCTTCCTTTTTCACCTGAAAGATTCCCTGGACTGTGGCTACTCCTCTTGCTAAGAAGCAAACCAGTTCAAACACCCACATGCCTGACTCCCGCATGAGCTCTGTTGTGAACCAGGTGAACTTAGAAGCACTTAAGTTGCTAATTCCTTGGGCCTGCTCTGTGCCTAGCAACTGTATGACATGGATAGCATAACAGCATTCATTGCAAAAGATACCAGGAGGAGGATTCGGTCTTCAGTACAAAAGCCTACCAGGTGTATAACTTGCTCAGGAAGTGGGAGATCTGGTTTCAGGCTCTCCTAAGCCCGAGAGACTCAAATGCCCATCTCCACCTTCCAGGAGAATGCCCAAACCTCCTGCCATCAGCTAGTCTGGGCAGGGCACCTCCCATTCCTCCTTTTGAAGGCAGCTCACTGAGCAGTTGAGAGTGACCTGAAGGAGAGCAGACAAGAAGGAGCCTGAATGTGTAGCCCAGTCCATTGGGAATGGGGAATCCAGAGTTTTGAGTCTCTGCACCCTGGACTGCCTATGTATTTTACAGTCATTTGTTGAAAGAAGAAAAATAAACCTGGGACCTCATCTCTAGGCTTCCCGCCCCCCAAAAGGCTCAGGGCAGGTTGCAACCATGGATCCAAGTGGGAGTGTGTAGCCTGAATCACAGTCTACTCCTTATTTACCCTTATCATCTAAAGATATTTAAACATGTCTTAAGTAAAAATGCAACAGACAGTGCCACCATTTTCTAGTGCTTTTCTTATAATAAGCATGTTCAGCATCTTCTGTTCCAGAGGGCTGTCTTGGATTGCATTTATGTTTTAAAGTTCCAGCTGGAGTAACTCAGGTCTCTTGGAGAATGAGATTAGACAAAAATATGTAATGTCATCCCTCAAATAATCATAACAAAATGATTTCATGGACCTCAAGGGTCTCCAGCTTTGGAATGGAACAGGTCCTTGAAATAGGGAGGAGGTAGGATTACCTTAGCATCATAGATCTATGTCAAATTGGTACTTCTGAGCCTATGAAAACTGTAGTCTACATGTATTTAGTAGTGGTTCATCAGCAGCTGAGGTCACTACTTGGAAGATTTTCTGCACTGAGCATGCTCCATCCTTGTCTAGCTCCTCTGTGATGCTCAGCTGGTATGTGACTCATCCTCACTGAAGAACTATTTTCCCTAC